TGGGCGGTCGGGGGGGGGGGGGTGTTTAGATCAATTGGTGAAATTGGGAAGAGTGGAACCGGGGGCACACGCTTTGGCCGCCGGGGATGGCTCGACGGCGGGGGACGGCGGCACCGGCGTGACGCACAGCTCGGCGGGGAGATCGGGAATGCCACTCAAGTAGAAGGTGTAGAAGAGCTTGAAGGGGAAAATGAGTTGCTGGAGCTTGACATAGCCTGAAACTCCGGCGAAAATCCCAGATCCGCCGGTCACCGCCAGATGCGTCTCCTGGTAGGTCAGGTACGCCCCCTGGACGGAGATTTGGCCGTAATCGCCGAAGTAGAAGCTGTAGATCGCCTCGTAACGGTCGCCTTTCTTCTCCTCCTCGTGCGCGATTAGGATGCAGATTCCGGCCGTTATCCCCACCCTCTTCTGCAAATCCCCTGTGTACAGCTAACAGGAGAAAAAAAAGAACAGAAAAACAGAGCAATTAACTAAAATGAGAAATAAACATTTCATTAAAACTTCTCTAATCAAATAAATGAAGATCGAAACCTTGTTGCTGAAGGGGACAAGGTCGCCGAGAGAGTTGACTGGTTTCTGGCTCAGCCGGAGATACGCCGGGCTGCCACGGTCCCTCTCGTTGATCTCGTACACATACAGTTCCTGAACTTTGGCTGTCACACATTTTTCGAAATTATTACTACGGGGTATTTCAGAATCGTTCAAGAAATGAGAAAAATGGGTTGGAATTGCTTACGAGCTGAACTCAATTGGCTGCGGACAGTTAACGGTCTCTTGGCGGCGGCGGGGCCGGATGAGGCGGTGCTGATGCGGAGATTTCGGGAGACAAATGGGTTGTGAAGAGGTTGGAGTTTGAGAAGGGAGGGAGAGGCGGGGTAGGTGGAGGGGAGCTTGGCGGAGGGAGAAATGGATTTGAGAGTAGCAGAGGCGGAGGAAGCGGCGGCCATGGCTGCAGGTGAGTGATGAGAACGATGAAGGAGAGGTGTTTGATCAAATGACCAAGAGAGAGAGAGAGACTTGAGTTTCTTCCTTTCTTAATTTACACCTGTTAGCTCCTCTCTACCATATTTATAAAGAAATGGGGACACGCATGCTAAGGTTTATTCCGTTTGTCTAAGTTGTTTTTATTTTATTTTTTTGAAGACATGATTGTGATTAGATTTGATCTTATTAAATTTGATTTGGCTGAGTTGATATAATTTAATATAATCCAATCAAATTGTAATTATATTTAAATTTATTTCTATTCTAATCTAATTTAATTTTAATAAGAATGAATAATAAACTGAAAATAAATTAAACAGAATAGACCTTAAGAGTTTGTTTTGTTTAACTTTCATTCATACTTGGTCCGTCTCTGAGTGTTTGTCCATTTTTGATTTTTGGAACTGTTCATCTAAGCACTTTGACTCATCAAATTCTCTCAATGTGTAAGGCTAAAAATAATCATGTGTGATCTTGTTTGATTCGTCTTAACATATAGATTATTAATATATAATTTTTATAATTTTTTAATATACAAATTACAAGATAAAATGGATTAAAGAATTGCATTGGATGGTGTGTAAAAATGAAAGTGAACAAAGACTCAGTGATGGAGGGAGTATTACTTATTCCCTCCGTCCCAATATATTTGTTTCATTTGATTTTTTCGAGTCAAACTAGATAAATTTGAGCTTCAATTAAATAAAAACCAAAATGTATTTTAACATAAAAATGACTTTATTAGATTAATCATATTAAGAATTTTCAAACTTATATTTCATATACCAATATGTAATACGAATTGATAATAATTAAAGTTTAAGGTTTGTGGACAAATATACTGTGACAGATTTAGTATTATATAGTTTTATTGGAATAAATTAAAATTAGATTAGATCAGCAATAACTATAATTACAACTATAGCCGGCCTAGAACTTATGAGGCGAAAAATTATTCCAATAATATTAGGTGACTAGAACAAGTTAGCTTAGTGTTCACAAAAGGCTAAAGGGTATGAAATTAGCCTTATTGGAAGTTCGGCCAAATAGCATCGGTACCCCACATGGTTTGCAAAACAAACACCAATACCTCTTCTGTTTTTAGAATGTACTTCTAAAGTCATTGTGATTTCAAAATACTACACCCGTGCCCACTCTAATCATTTTCTAACCATTTTTCCGGCAAAGAAAGGGGTATTGGTACATATTTTTTAAACCATAGGGAGTATCAGTGCTAATTTTTATTTCTCGCTTATTTTTGTATATTCTATTTTTCTCTTTTTTTATTTCATTTGTTAATAAAGGTTATTTAAAATTATTTTTATAATGTTCTTACAATTTAAAGTTATTTTTGTTTGAAAAAATTAACATATACTCCCTCCGTTCCACAAAAACCTTTCGGTTTTAACTTTGGGGAAAAATAAGGAAAGTATAATTTTGGTTGACTTTCCAATTTTGCCCCTGATGTGATGAGAAAAAGGAAGATGTGATAGTTTGGTTATTAGTGGAAAAAACATGATGTGATAGGTAGGGTATGAAAAAGTAGGGGTAAAAGTGGTTTTTTAATAGAAAGCGAAAGTGTTTTGTGGAAAGCAAAAAAAAAAACAAAAGAGGAAGAGTTTTGTGGAACGGAGGGAGTAATACATATGTATGTCTCAAATTAACAACTTTTGTTTTTTCTGAGAAAAAGTAAATTTTTTTGAGAACTTTAAAAAAATGAGGAATAAAATACGAAACAAAATAATACAAAAATAAAAATGAATATCCTTTTTGGACAATTATAAGGACTTTTTAGGCGTGTCAATTTTTTTTATAAGACTTTTTTTCATTCCGTTTTTCCATATTTTTATTTTTTTATTCTGAGTTTTTTAACTTTCCAAAGATTTATTCTACATACTTCCTCCGTCCACAAATAAACTTTACATTGCGCGTTACGATGTTTGATTGAAGTTATTTTTAAATCATTTTATACGAAAAATGGTGTGAAATTTGAAATTATAAATCACATATTAAAAAACTATATCAAAAGATCTACAAAACTAGAGGTGACATGACTATATTATTTTATCAAATTGATAACGGAAATAGGCCAACAAAGTGAATAAAGTTTGACCCTGTGAATAGTAAACGTAAAGTTTATTTGTGGACGGAGGGAGTATTTTTTTATGCCTGTAATGTATGTTAATTTTTTTATTTTTATTTTTACTTCAAACACAATGAATTTTAAAATTTTTAAAACATTATAAAAAATTGAAAATATATTTTAAAAAAATCCAAGAAAAGGAAAAAGAGATAGAAAATATTCAAAATGGGAAAAGACAAATAATAAACGAAAATAAGAAATGCGCACGAATGCCCTCTATGGTTTAGAAATTATGCGACAATGCCCCATATTCGCCAGAAAGTGGCCGGAAAAATAACAGAGAGGGTGCGGGTGCAACTTTTTGAAACTACGAAAACTTTATAAATAAGTTTTGAAAACAGATGGGATATTGGTGCCAATTTTCCAAACGACAGGGACACCGGAGTTTTTAGGTCTTGGAAGTTCATTAAGTATATTAAATGAGCTAGGTGAAGTGTGATAAATAAAGAGATAAATGATAGTTGTAATATTTCAATGTTAAAAAAGATAATGAGAAAATCTTTTCTAAATATAAAAAGACAACATTTGGAAGATCTTTCCCAAAGGAAGGTTATAAAAAATATAGGACTCATATTAATTTTTCTTTTTTATTCCAAATTTATTCCGGGTTAAAACTCCCACGACAAGAGGACCTATCCCAAACAATCATCCTCGCTCTATACTTTATAATAACAAAAACTCAGTTGAATCACATGAACAATAGGATTTAGAGAGACTATGTGCACGTAGACATAGTCCCTACTTGATGAAGTCATCCGATAAACAAACTCCGTTTGCTTTCAGACTAATGTGCTGCTGAGGAGGTATGCAGGCGATGCGTTGCCCTATTCTCGTACTCCAACAATAGCTCATACTATTTGTCAGCCGTTAACGACTATGACATTTTGAGTTGGAGCCGATGAGAGAGGGCCAAAATAAAGAGAAAGATCAGACAAGAGAGTACACGGACTAAAGAAGTATACTCCGACAAGAAGGCCCATGAGTTTATAATCTATTACGGAGTATTTAATAGATAATAAACAACAATAAAAGGCTCATTTGAGAAATAATATTTTCAATTAGTATAAGTGTTTTTGATAAAATTTTAACGATACAGATTAACTTTAAAAACATTAATACTAAACTCTATCCGTAAATAGGTTTTTCAAAATACTAATGCTAACCTCTAATACTATATTTAATTTGGCTCAAATAATATAAAATAAACAAAGAAATATGACGAGAGAGCATACTTTGTAGGTTTTTTGACCTGGGGCAAAAAAAAGTACACCAAAAGGTGTACCCCAAATGTACACCACCCTCTTTTCCACCACACATTTTTATTTGATTGTTATTACCTTATTTTTTTTTAGATTTTTTTGCTTTTCTAGTGGACAAAGAGGGGATGTGAGACATATGAGGTACATCAAAACCTTTGATGTACGCCTAACATTTTTTAAAAAAAGAATCATCTCCATATATAGGGCAGCTTTTTTGAATAGGGTGGCTTAGGTAATCATGAAAAACAATTGGGGAGTGTGAGCACGTATTTCAGACCGGAGAGAAAAAGCTGATCAGAATAGCTGGGCACAGTGTCCAGTCCTTTCATCTTAGTCCACTCCTCCTCCTTATCTGTCCATCTCTTCTAAGTGGATTACACCCAATAGATTCTTTTTAGGCAAGAGAGATGGATCTGATCCATTCTCCAAATTGAAAATTGTAAAGCCGGACGGTCGATGCCATTCTCCGGCTGAGAGCTACAGAGAGACTCGGCGGTGCAGAAGTGCTCCTTTCTCCGGCAAGACCTAGAGACGGAGAGCTAGGGAGATTCGGCGGCACATTTTCCAGCAAGCAGCAGCCCCCATCAACGGAGATCTGGGGGAAAATCCGGCGAAGCAGCAGTGCTCCACTCACCGGCAAGCAGAAGCACAGAGAGCTAGGGATAAATCTGGTGACGCAACAGTGCTCCATTCTCCGGCAAGCAGCAACCCCTGCCATTATCAATATGTTTCAGACATAAGCTTTGGATTTTGATTGTGTGAGTAAATAAAATATAGAATTTACATCCTCATTTTGTTTTATTTTTCTGTTTGAGTGTCGAGAATCTTCTACAGTGAGAATAAATTGTACTCTCTCCGTCCCAAATTATTTGCCACATTTGTATTCTCGAGTCAAAATATCAATTTTATTTACATATTGGTAAAGAAATAAAAAATAAAATTAACATATAAAAAAACTACATGAAAAGTTCTTCGAAATAAGAGGTGTCAAGAATATTTTATTTTATCAAATAATCAATGAAAACGTCGAAATAAACAAAAGTTTCCGACACTGTTGAAAAAGCAAATATTGTGAAGTATTTCCACAAAAGAACCCATTTTGTTTTCCCCATTGTTTATGGTTGAGTTTATGACTTGGTAGGAAAGTTTCCACAATATAATGTCTGTTCAAGAGCTGGTACAATCTTATGTGAAGTATTTGATGGACACTTGCCTTATGGTCATGTGTTTGCAAGGAGATTATTAGATTATCTTTCACTATTATTGAACACGAAGTTGGAAGTGAAATCTTCTGTTGGTCCAACCATATGATTTCAAGGATGATGATTTGCCTCATCCATCTTACAACAAAACAGTGTGAATTAAATTTTCTTCAATTTGACTTCTTAAAGCCATTATCACTGCCCATGAAGTCCTCCTCCTCAATTCCAAAGAACACTTTATTTCTCCTTTCATAGACAAGCTTCACCACAGGGAATTGAGTCACTGCCAAGCTACAAAGTCTCAGGTATCTCAAATTTTTCGCTGCAAAATTATGCAGAGTTTTTTTATGAGTTGATATTTTTGAAAATTTAATTGAGAAGTTTGACAATGACCTAAATGTTCCACCTCAAGAGATTTGAGTTTGACAATGACGAATCCGCAACTTGGGCATGTTTGTTGGAAGATGGATAGCCAGTTTTGTGGATTGGTGTGAAGCATGAAGAAAGAAAAGGTGCAACCTTAGGGATTGTTCTTAGCGCGACTAGCTCTTTGATGAACGTTATTGTGACCCGCTTAGATGTGTTTTCAATACATAGTTGTGCTTCTTCCAATTCTTCTTAAATGGGTTGGTGCAAAAACTTCCCCAAATCTGATTCTCTACGCTAATGTTTTATGAAGGATTTGAAATTTTAATAAATTTATGAAGAAATTATGAGTTGTACTTTGTTTTTAAAAGCGATAATTTATATAGGCTCTATTTACTCTCTTTTGAAATATTTTATCAAATTTTACATTTAAATTAAGTTTATTCTTTAACGAAGCTTATCGTTCATTTTTCTACTATTTGGTAAGTTCATTCAATTAGTCATTAGGTTGTTGTGAATGCAGGTAGCTATTAAGGGATGATGCAGATTGAAGTTGTCAAAATAAGATAAGTAATTTAGACCTTTTGATTAAATTCTAAATATTAGGCAAGTTTGCAAATATTGTCTATTTTTTAGCAGGAGTATGGGGGAATCATCTCTTTCTTCTGAATCTCCTCTTTAGCTCCTATATTTCAATTTAGCTTTCTATGTTTTATTATCTTTATCATCATTGTAGGTTATGTTAATGATCAATGTCTATCACAATGGAAAGTGTTCAAACATGTCGGGATGAAGAGACATGTCACTACAAGCAAAATTGTACAAGAACAACCCAGTAGAATCCCGCAACGGTAGGGTCTAAGAAACACATATTACGCAGATCTTACCCTTACTAAAAGCAAAACTGTACAAAAAAATTAAAATTAAAAATTAGAAGTGTGTTTATAGCTTTTAGGTTTATCATTTTTGTATTTAAAATTTTCTTTACATTGTTTAATTTAAACAAATATGGCTTTGTGCTAAAAAAAAACAAATATGGCTTTTTTTAAAAGTGGCTTTTATGGCTCTTGCGTACTCTTTGTTGGACGATATTGAATGATTACAGAGTAATATGTTTTTTAAAAAATACTCTCTTTAATAGTGTAAATTAGTATATGAGATTTATTATTTAGACAGATTCTAAGGATGTTAAGCTAATTCTAGAAGTTAATATACTATGGAGTATTCTAGATCAAGTCTAAGATAGTGAGTTCGGGTATGGATCGAGCCAAGTGGGCAGACTGACGAGTAGTGAGTTCGGGTATGGACTGGGCCAAGTGGGTTGACTGATGAGGTTGCTAGCTTGGACATCTTCCGGTCAAATCATGATTGCATTTCTCCATAAATTAAAAGTAGTGTCAAAACTATCTCATTGCTCAATGTGATTTATGTCAAATCTATTTAATTTATACTTTTTTTATTTCCAAGCATTTAATGGATGAATTAATAACTTCATTTTTCAAATTTTATGTCAAATCAAAATAAATAAATGAATAGTGTATTGATATGGAACCGCATGCATAGTTATGTTGGTGCGTGGCTCGATGCAAACTTTACGTCAAATCAAGATAAATAAATATGTAATGTATTGATATGGAATCGCGTGCATAGTAATATTGGTGTGTGGCTTGATGCAAATTTTATGTCAAATCAAAATAAACAAATGGGTAGTGTATTGCTATGGAATCGCGTGCGTTGTGAAGTTGGTGCGTGACTCAATGCAACTTTATGTCAAATCAAAATAAATAAATGTGTAATGTATTGGTATGGAAGCGTGTGCGTAGTACTATTGGTTCGTGATTCGATGCAAATTTTATGTCAAATCAAAATAAATAAATGAGTATTGTATTGTTATGGAACTGCGTGCATAGTAAAATTGGTGCGTGATTTCATGCATACTTTATGAGGAGATACACTAAATCAAGATATATAATGTGGAGAAATAGATTCACTAAATCAAGATATATAAAGAGGAGATTGATTGTCCAATTATATATACTACTTATACTCCAAACATTTTATACTTCTCATCCCAATTCGGTCCACTTTTAAAAAATGTCTCAAAACATTCCAAGAGTAGGTGAAATGCGCTTGCCAAGATTGACAATTGTCGAACCACTTGGATGCTTATGCTATGAGCTGTTCGTGTCTACTTTATTCTGGCTTGGACAAGAGGAGGAGATTCAATGGAAGGGATCAGTGGCGGATCTAGGATGTTAGATAGTAACGGTCACCTTTCGGGTATTTGGGGGCAACGTCCCCAAAACTTTTATTATACATGCAATGTGAAACTTTAAAAAAATAATGAATTTATCCTCAAAAATTTATTCAAATAGTAAAAAAAATTAAAAAAATCGAATTTTTTATTTAATGCCAATATTATAATTTTGGTTAATTATTACTCCATACATTTTTAGTGTACTACTTTAGAATTTATCTTTGGAATTTAAATATTTCACTTTAAAATTAAATTCTTTTAATATTTAAATATTCAACTTCTCTCATTATTTTCTTACTTAACACTATTAATTGAGGTCTCTAATGCTTTTAATTGGAATCTCTAATATTTTTAGTTCGGGTCATAAATTACATAACTCTAAGAAAAATTTAAAAAAAATAAGTATCACAATACAATGATAAAAACAACTTAAAATAAGTAGGAGGTCATTGCCCCCAACTACTATGATATGGATCCGCTCCTGGAGTGATCTTTCATGGAAAACATGTATTGTATTTATAATTTTTCTTTATTATTTGATTATATGTTATTATTATAATTTAATTTTATCATTTTTTTCATTAATACTTTTCGTAATTATATAATTTATAATTAGGCCGTGCAACGCACGGGTACGCGTCTAGTAACAACTTAACAAGCCATTGTAAATGCCCTATTTACATCGGATGGGATGTAATCAATTGGAACTCCTTATCGAGTGTTGGAGTTTCGCAGATTCTCCGGGATAAACAACTACTAAAGTCCTGACAGCCAACGGCGAAAAACCTGCTTCCGATCTGTCGGAACCAACGGCTATCGTTCTTCTGCGATTCCCCGGAGATAGAATGGTCGCAGTTGTTGAAGCTCGTCAGCTCAGCTTCCCCAAGCCGCCGCTCCTTTCCGTCTCCCTTTCTTCTCCACACGTCACATCTCTCCTCTTCGAACCCACCTTTTCATCTCTAGCCCTCTCTCACTCCGATTCCTCTTTCTCCCTCTACCACTCCATCTCCCCCCTCTCCCTCCCTCCCCCTTACTCTCTCCCTCCTCCCAAAACCCTAGTCCCGCCGCCGGTCTCCTCCGCGACCTTCGTCGTCCTGCGCGACGCTACCCCCAACCCTAATTCTCTGTTCGTCGCTTCCTCGCCCCTCTCCGGCGGCTCCGCCGTCCTTCTCCGGTTCTACATCCTTAGCCCAGACAGGAAATCTTTTACTAGAGCCAGGGTTGTTTGCAATCACAGTGACATCCGGTCCGAGGAGGGGAAGTTTGGCGTTGTGTTTGGGGTCAGTCATGGCGTATCTGTTAAATTGGCTGGGTCAGTCAACGTGTTTGCTATGTACTCGATTTCGAATTCAAAAATTTGGGTTTTTACAGCAAAGCTCGTAGGTTATGAGGAAGTTAAGTTGATGAAGTGTGCTGTGATTGATTGCTCTGCTCCAGTGTTTTCAATGAGTCTGTCCTTTGGGTTCTTTATTCTTGGGGAAGAGAACGGTGTTAGGGTTCTACCCTTAAGGCCACTGATTAAAGGAAGAGCTAGAAAAGACAAAGGCCCGAGTAAGAAGAATGTGATGAATGCATCGGAGCGAGATGATAAGATGGACAATAAAAGAGTGAATTTGCAAAATGGGATTATTAATGGAATGTATGGGCTTGAATCAAAGACACTCTTCAACAACAGAAGCGACACTTTGAGTGGGGAAAAAGAATTAAAATTGCGTTCTGTTAGTCATTTTGACAAGAAAAGTGATCAGCATTCACATTCTGGTGCGTGAATTACCTTATTCAACATTGCTTCTTCTTCATACTTGTTTGTTTTAGGATAATATGTATTTATGTCTCTCATATGCAAAAATGGAACATGAAGTGTATGAGAGCAAACAACTATATATTTGAAGTTTTTGTTATCTACAGAAATAATTATGATGTCTTGCCATGAATTAGAGCGATGAATAAATATGTTTTTTTGAAAAGGCAATGAATAAATATGTCTGGGTGGGGGTAATGTAACTGCAATAGTATTTATGTGGGCATAATGCTCTGTGTGCAACAGGCAGTCTTCCTTCATGCCTTTGTTATTACAGGCATACTCCGTAGTATGTTATTCACCTATCTCACATGTTAAGTCGCTTCTAACACAAAAATCGGGTCATCGAAGTGATCATCATGCTCATTTAGATTTTAGATCTTAGTGTTTTTTATTCATTTGACTTGTATTGTACAATTGTATCTCCATGATACGACTCTTCAAGTATATGTCAAATGGTCGCAGTCCGAATAATTTGAGCATGAATGTTTTTCATTTGGAATGCATGGCTATTTTTTAGTGTTAACATTAAGTTGTTGCATAGGTGCATGATAGACTGATTGTTTGGATTTGCATAATGAAGTTGGATCATAGACTTCTTGGCCTATTTTCTCCTCTTAAGTTGTCATCTTTGAGATGCCGTGGGCTAACTTTCATGTTTAGATAAATGAAGTATTAATTTGTGTGTTGTAATATTACTCGAATACTTGCAGTAAAGTTGAGGTGTGCTAAGCTGAGACAAGATTCCAGAGATTGGGGTGCCATTTTCTTAGCATTCGAGCAGGTGGACACGTTTGAATCAGTGGAAGTGCCTATAAGATCGGTCAAGGCGATAAACATTCAGGCCTTGTCTTTAAGCAAGTTTCTGATATTAGATTCTGTGGGGAATCTGCACATCTTATTCCTTGGCTATTCTGCTCCTGGCTATCAGATTCATGGTCACATGAAACAGTTGAGTCACACAATGAGAGTCCAGAAGATGGCCGTTCTTCCTGATAACTCAGCTAGTATAGCTCCCAAATTCCGTGTTTAAACTTCTCTACAAGACCTTTATACTTCATATTAAATGAAAATGCTCTAGCAACTTGCATTTGTTAACCATGATGTCTTTAAACATCAGAAATTGCCCTCTAGCTATATAATTATAATAGCCGGAATCGTGAATTCATTGGATACCTATCTTCAATTTTAAAATTGAAAAAAATCCCATCTTTGCAGGAACACATGCTGTTTGGTTGTCAGATGGGCTCCACAGTATATATGTGATGGTTGTAAGTGACACTGAAAGTTCTGTTAGTGAAACAGAAAACAAGGAGTCTGATAAAAGTCTTATACAAACTTCAGGTTAAGTAATAGTTTGTTACTATGTTGCTTCAATTGCAGTTATATGTGTGTTTTTTTCATTTATCCTTGGAAAAAAAATCTATTTACTCACCATTAACTTTAAACTTTTTCTTTAAAAAATGCGAATCAAGTGTTGTGGGAGGTGCTGGCTGCTAGGTGCCTAGAGAGCACTTAGTGGGGCACCATTCTCGCCTTAAAGCACTCAATGGGGGTTGCCTTTTCAGAAATATTACATCGCTTTTAAAAACCAATTAATTTGTAGTCATCAATGCCCTTTCCGTATCTACTTAATTTTCTTTTGGATGTTGAAGGCCCATATTCTATTATGATTTTTCATTCTTTTTATAGTTCCACAAGCCATATTCTCAAGCGAAATAATCCAAGAAATTGCACCCCTGTCTGCAAATTCAGCCATGCTACTTGGACAAGGTAAGATGTGGATGAATGAAATGTTTCATGCATATGTGGTCCCATCTTTTTCTACTTTTTATCAGGCTGGTTTGATAGGTGTACAGAGGGATTGATGTCTTGGACAAAAAAACTAAAACAATAAAAAAGTGGAACAGTTACAGAGGATAATGCTGTTTCTAAACTCCAGAATGTATGTCTTCGATAATTTGCACTGTTCTATTTGCAGGAAGCATGTTTGTATATGGAATCTCTTAACTGTATGCAGTAGTTCTATTAGTGGACATGGTGAGTTCACTTTCACATGTCATTCTTTGGTGTTCATGAGATTGTATTCATTACATCATACGAACTCTGCATATAAGACAGTAGGCATAGTATTTTTTTGTTTTATACTTTGCTTCTTGACTGAAGTTTTTTAGGTAAATGCTAACCTGCTGCATATTTTTGTCCTTTTAAAGTTAGTTACAGCACACCAGTCACCAGAACTTTATGTTTTTTCTTGCTTTGTAGGTGATTTGTTCTTCAAAGTGTGAGTTTTGGTGATCAATTTTTCTGGGCATATTTGGTTTAACGGTAAGCTTTTCAAGAATATGACAAACAAAAGATGTATCACAATGCCGGACATTCATAGTTAATTATATTATTATTACTTTCTTGTAGGCTTGAGCTTCACCGGTCATATACGCACCTGCATATATAATGATCCATTTGATTCCAATGGTGCTGAGCTGTCAAAGTAAGCATGATCCTCATCTTCATGTCATTTTTTCCGCTCGCGCACACACACACAGGAGGTCTTGGAGAACAGTTTAATTTTAATTGGGTTTTCAAAAATTTACTGAAGTTCTCATTTGGTTTTGTCGGCCTATTGAGGTTTATCTATAGAGGTCCTTGGCATTAGCTTTAGCGTTAATGTCATCCAACGGTAGCTTTTAGCGTTAGCATTTTTAAAGGTAATTTGCACCTTTATAAAAATTATCCAAAACGCTATCATTAATCACAAATGTTATTCCGAAACGAAGACCTTACACACACATACAAAACAACCATTAATGCACTCTAAAGACTATCGTGTAAAAACCAAATAAAAATGCAACATCTAATAAAAATGAAAATCTAAAAGTATATATAGTATCCTGTATCCCCACCTTTCCTATATAAACTTCAGTTCACGATGTATGATGTTTCAATGAAGTTATTTTTGATCTAATTTATTCGAATGTTGATGTAAAATTTAAAAATAAACTTACATATTTCAAAACTACATAAAAAATTCTTCAAAACAAGAGGTGATATGATTATGTTATTCTAACAAAGGATTGAAGTAAATTAGTAAAAGAAAGAATATATAATTTGTATGTGTGAATAGTTAAATTGAAGTTTATTTATGGACGGAGGGAGTATTTGCTTTCCCCTTTGCACAACCAATTGAAAGGATTGCACAATCACCACTCCTCGAGGTGGTCCCACCCATTTGCTGATTTATTGTCTTCTTCGAGGAAACCCTCTCAAATCCTGCTTGTCAAAGTGTCTGATCACGACTTTGCGTCATCGTCATTTCATGATATGTGAAAAACATTGGATTAGGGGAAGAATGCAACTTTTTACTTTTCTTAACAAAGTTGTCTTCCAAGAGTGAAAGTGATAAAATCAAATATTCCCTCTTCCAAGGGATAGTAATTTTGCTACAAAAATAGGATCTACTTAAGATTGTGCAAGTATCTTTTGTGACATGCATTTTCTTAGATTTTTTTCTTCAAAAACTGTCGAGACTCTGGTTTTATACCATTTTAAGGGTAAGAGAAATCTTGATGACTTGATCTGAAATGACTGAAAATCATCTTGCGGGGTTTTACTGCACGGTTTCTTCAAATGACTTTTGCTATGACTGTTGGGAGTATCCTGCTTTAGCATTTTCTTTGCATTTTTGTTGGTCTTGTTCCTTTTGTAAAACTATCTCTAAACCAAATCAAACAGACCAAAAATGCTTAAATGTTGGTCTTCAAGTGTGGAACAAGACTGCCACCCAATTTCAAACAATGCTTAATTCTGCAGTATATGCCCTTCTGCATTGAACATGATTACCTATACACTTGAGAAATTATAAGTCATTGTTTATGGGCTTCTGGCAACTGGGTACTATAAATGAGTGCATAACCTTTGTAGTTTGCATTATGAAAGCATCACTATATCTGAGTGGTTTATTTAATCCCATGTTTTAGTTCTCCAAAGGTTAGGACCTCTTGGCATCATGGCTGGGAGGCTAGTCTTAAAGCAATCCATGGAAAAATGTTGGAGACCAATGCGAGAGGTGGTGGTAATCATGTGTGGCCAATGCAATTTTGGTTGACGGTTTTACCCATTGCCGTTCGTCACATTGGTACTACTCCAAGTGGTCAAGGGATTACTTCAGCTTCTTTCCACAAGTGTTCCTCTTCTTACCATATGTTGTTGGATACTCGATCTGTTCTTCTAAGCCCACAGCTTGTGCTGAAAAAAAAAACTAGGGAGGATGGCTATATAAGGGTAGATGGTAATTATCATTTTCAGAATATTAAGGGATTTTACAGTCCTTGTAATCTCAGATGTACACCCAACATCTGATATTTCAAGTAGCCTCGTACTTTCTTTGTCTTAAAATTTTCTTTCCAATTTCGTTTCTTGATTGTTTTGAACTTTTGATCCAATTGACTTTCAAAGAAAGATTTGTGTGGCAATGTACTTTTTGTTAGAACCACACAGTTTTTAGCTAGAAGAGATGTTTTTAGCTGCATAAGATGTTACTACGGAGTTCTAAAAATTAAACACTCTTTAAAGGTAAGACTCATACGGTCTAGCTCTTTGGCCACTCACTTTGAGTGGCCACGGAAGGCACTATTTGAATTTGACTGGCTTCGTTCGCAAAACTGATAGTTCTTACCTTCTAACTCTCTTGGTGACCCTCCCCCCACCCAGTCCCGACTCAACCCATTCCCCCATCCACATCAATTGCACTTGGAAATTTAGATGATTTTGAGTCGGAAATTTTGACCCTAAAGTCAATTAAACTTGTGGGATGTAATTGACGTGAAAGAATGAGTTGGGGTCGTGATTGGTGGTGGAGGGGGATTTCCAGGTGATCAGGGGTTATGAACTGCCAATTTTGCATTTTTGCGAACATATCACTGTAAAGAGACAATGTTCTCTGTGGCTATTCAAAGTGAGTGGTCATAGCACATTTGTTAGACTAATAAAACACACTCTTTATAGATTAAAATGTCAAAAAGTTGCTCAAAACAAAGATTTGGAAAGGTGGCAAATAAGCACATATCAATGTTTTTTTATGCAAACTCTTTGCTTTATAAGTTCTCACTGAAAAAGAAAAAAGAAGACATTTATAAAGTGAAGTATACACATCTTGGGAGGAAATTGATAAAGACAATCTCTTGCATGAAACAAGAGGCTATAAGGGTCCCAATGGGCAATATCTCCATGATTATGATCCTCAGCACCCCACCAAAAAATATGGAGTAATAATAATAAAAACAATAATTACTAACCATTCTTTAATGTCTCTTTCTCACACTGAAAACAACCCAACACTGAACAAAACTTTCACCATCTTGTAATACCCACTGTATCTATCTCCAAAGGTGTGCAATTATTATCATCTTCATTTTTTGGTATCCCTTGCATATGTCCTCTTCTAATTTGAGAGAATCCATCCCAATATTCTTTGTATCGGCACCACGACTATTATGATTAACTCAGCAAAGTGTCTTAGACCCGGTCTAGAGTAGTCTGCCCGATTGATTAATTACACCATCGAGATGGAATGTCGGGTGAGTCCCGATCTGATGGAGTTGTGAGGAATAAATTTTTTTGCCATTATCATTATGAACACAAGTGAAGAGAAGCCAGGATCGTGAGTGTTGTAAACACTAGTACATAATGTACCAGTACTTCGATGGTTCACATTAGTACATAATATATCAATGTATATATTTTGTGCAAGTGTAAACTATTAAAATGTTAGCACAAATTAGTAGCATTACTATTGTGATGAGAATGTAAGGTTTGAAGTTGATGATGTTAGTTGATGTGTAATGCTTGGATGAGACCAACATATAGTCTCTCATCATTTCAAATTCATTCCCACAACTTTCATTTTTAATTAAACTTCTTAAATTCAATCTTCAATCAAAGTGAACTTTTATGCTTTGTTTGGAGGATGAGAGAAATTGAAAAAAAAATGAGATAAGGATTCGTTTGGTACACGAAATTGATGGAATTGAATCTAGAGTTAAAATAAAAAGAAAAAATGCATGCTTAATTATGTCCCACGCCACCACGTACTCCATGCACTCGTGGAGCAGAGTCACCATACACTACTAGCTAAAACGTAAAACTACATATATACCCCTCCTTCCCTCCCAGCGGCCCTGCCCAATTGTTAAAGCATCTTTTATTCTTCGTCTTTTTACCCCACTGTTAGGTATATTAGCAGCTAGGTAGGGTACTTATGTATAGTACTATCTCCATCATGCCCCTTAATTATTAGTTTTTGACTACTCATTATTATCTTTCTCGATCTCTCTCAGTATGACCAAAAGTATATATGAAACAACAAGTCGGAGCTAGCCTGAGAATGACGAAACAACAAGGAGCCCCTTTTGGCTCACGACGTCACGATTGCCGCCGCCGGCGCCGCCACGATGAATGGGCGGCAGGTATCAAATCCGAAACCATCACCGGCGACGGTGAAAATAGGATCTCCAGAAGATACTCTGCATCTCACGCAACCAGCAGTTTCAGAGAAGAAGAAGAAGAAGAAGATAGGACGGCCTTTATCAATAATAAGTCGTCGGCCTCTTCCAGATCAAACTTCACCATTTCCAGCACCGTCTCTTCTCCGGGCTTCAACTTCAAAGGTTTTTCATTCTTTATTATATATATATATATATATATATATATATATATATATATATATATATATATAAAGTCATTATGTTTTAGTACTATTTAGGTAAATTACTGCCTCCTGTTGCCTTTTTTTTACGGAAGAAATCGACCTTTCCTCGTATTCTTTTACCACCGCCCTCAAAGGTAAGTAAATTAAAGAACGCTATTATATATTGTCCTTAGATAGCATTTTTGAAACACTAAAATTTCTGACTTTTGCATATATATGTGTAATTGTGTAAATAATGCAGCGTTACAGGGGCGGAGATGGGAGGGCATGGGCAGAGGAGAGGGATTAGCGTTGAACTCAAAGTGGAACGAGGCGGAGAAATACATATGCAATCCATTGTCAGGGGAGGTGCCGGTGGAATGCCTCTCTGCAAACACACGGCTCTGTGGCGGCGGCGGCGGGAGATCCTTCCGGTCATCGTCGGACCGGCTAAGCACCCGCCGGGTTTCAATGTCCGCCCCTCTGTTTTATCCTCCCAAACCCCATAATAATCTACTGCACCACCCTCATCAACAACACCATCTTCTTCTTGGAATCATAACAGATAAAAACCCCGCCGCCCCCGGCATTCCAAACAATATACAGAGTACGTTCTTTAATGTAATACGAAGTATGTTGTTAATTAATGTTCACGTGCAAGATTCGAGTAACTTTTCCTTTTTTATGGTAGAGGGGGAGAAAATGGCAACAACATGTCATCATCATCATCTTAATGGTTCAAAAACATCAAGAAATTGTAGTCCAGCAGCAGCAGCAGCCCCAACCCCATCGTCCATTATTATTCAAGAGAGCTCAGTAATTATGAGGACTCATTCTCCTCCCTCTTCCTCTACTGCAAAAGTACAATCTCATGAGGAAAAGGTCAGCTTTTTTTTTTATTATTCTCCCTCCCTCTTAAACTCATTCTCCTTTCTTTTCCTTATCCCTAAGTCTCTTTCTCTTTTCTATTAAAAAATCAATTTTACACCTACTAATATTTACCCTACATATCACATCATACCTTTTTACTAATAATTTATCTATCAAAATTTTGAGTCCAAAATCAACTAAACTCTGCAAATGCAATTGAAGAGGGTGGGGCGGTGGGTTTGGATATGGGCGGAGTGGGGGTTAGGAGAAGTAGGAACCGTCAATTTTACGAACGGGGCATCATATGGCCTAGCCTCCAAGTTATCCCATGACGTTGCTTAGCAATGTCAACGAAACATATTCCCTCCGTCCCTAAGAACATTTCTTCTTTCCTTTTTCATCCATTCCAAAAAACATTTTACATTTCTATTAAAAAAATCATTTTACCACTACTAATTTTTATCCTACTTTTTACATCACATCTATTTACTACTCCGTATTAATCTATCCATCAAATCATACTTTTATCCATCACATTAAAGAACATTTTTTAGAAATACAATACCAAAATACGTTCCTCTTAAATCCCTTAAAAATTAAAGCTTTCATGTTTTTAGGGACGGAGGAGGGAGTATATAATACACAAAAAGCTTATCTTTTTTCTAACAATTTTTTTATTTTGAGCGGTAAGAAAAACTCATGATTATTGGGCATTTGGGTCCCTCACATGCATGCATATATATGACATACGGAGCACCATGGTGGACATGCATGTTTGTCATTCTTGATTTTTTGTGGGTGAAAAGAGGTGTTTATAGTACAGCTTTATTTTTTTTCTTTAATGCTTTGATGGATCAGCTTTTATTAAACCTGTGCAATAATTGAAGAAAAAAGAGGATTGATTTTTCTCCTTTTGGGGGTGTCCAAGACATACAGATTAATTAACATGTTTCCTTTGGAGCGTATTAGTCCTTTTATTTCCACCTCATTCTATAGCAAAAGCAAAAAAAAAAAAAAACTTGCACAAATATATAGGAACATTTTGATTAGATTGGAATATGGTATTTTTGTCTTCTTCATAGGGTTTATATATGGAAAAACTATAGAATGAGGTGGAAATAAAAGGACCTATCTGTGACACTTATGCACATTTATTATCATCTCATAGGACTCGTTTGGAAATAGCATTTTCGCTTAGCGTTTGCATTTTGGAAGAAATGTTAACGGTGCAGATTAACTTTGAAAACACTAACGCTAAATACTACCCGTTGATATATATAACATTTTCAAAACGCTAACACTAACCTCTAACGCTATTTCTGAACAGGCCCATAGTATACAACATAAACTAAATGTGATTGATGATTAAAATTCGTCCAACTTCACTCAAAAAGTCAAATTAGACGAATACTCGATCTAGCATAACAAAATGAAAGCATAAAATTTTTGTTAATATCTTAAATTTTAAGTTTTAGGGTCATTCAGTTATAAATATTTTTGTCAATATCTTAAATTTTATACCGTCTTTAAAATTTTAAAATTTGAATGTATTTCAATCTAAAAAATTTCATGAATACTTTTATTATTAGTCAAACCTGAATTCCGACTGAATCTTAAACCAAATCCTATTCAAAAAAATAAATATCCAAAACTGACCCGCCAAAATCAAACCCGAACGCGATCTAATTTGGTCGGGTTTCAATATATTCAAATCCGACCGAACCCGGCCTGTTGTCGTCCCTATTTATGAGCATAACTATTTTTCAATAAAATGAGTATTTAATTACTCGAAAATGAATATTTTGTTACTCGAAAATGAGTACGCTTATCGGATATACATGAAACAATGTTTAACCGATTGTACGGTATGTATTGCATCCTATAAGTTGAGTGTCTTTGACTTTTTATAGAGAGAAGAAATAAAAGAGTCAAGGAAGAAGGAAGCTGCAGAGATCACCGGAAAAAATGACTTGGGAGAGAAAGGGAAGCAAGAGACGGCGGCAGTGTCGGAGGAGCTTAGGCGGAGGAGGCCAGGAGGAGGGTGTTTGTCGTGGAGGCGTTTCTTGTGGATGAGAAAAAGGGAAAGAGATAAGGAGAAACTTAGAGGACCTACGAAAAATAAGAATAGTCATTATAGTAGGAACATCTTTCTTTGCCCCATTCATCAATGGTAATTAAAAAAAGATTAAATTTTATAATTGGTTCTTTGTAAACAAAGAAATTTTCATATTTAGTCATTCTATCAAATATTACGTTTGTGCCTCATTTATGATACCTTTTCACGTATAATCTTTATTGTTCATCTGTCATGTTCATGTTAAATGGCGATTGAGGTAAAAGTATAATTTCAATCAACATGCATGTTGATGTATTCTGATATTAGTTTGACAGACAATAAAACAATAATGATTAGTTATGATTGTGGACTAAGATTCCATAGACTATGCTTATAGTGAAAAGCAACTTTGGTTGACAAACGACACATCAGTAGCGAGTAGCGACCTCTACATTAGCTATATATTGTTGGAATTTTCGGCATTTTAATAGGCATTATATGGACCAACTTGGGTATATTTGTCAATAGGTCCACTAACGGTTTTAACCGTTAATTAATGGACGTATGTTCTCTTAAATGAGATAAATGTTTTGACAATTTATACGCCAAAAATGGTAGAGGGTGAATGAGAAATTGATTCTCAGAGTTAACCCGTTAATAAAACAATATCGTAAGGATTGCAATTTTTGCAATTTTTACTGAACCAATCTTCTTTTGTTAATTTTATGTATTGTTTAAAAATTAGTCCATTTATACGGAGTTAACTGGTCATTAATCTCCAATTATTCGGGACAAATTTTAAATGGAGCGTAGCGTAACGGACGTGTTAATGACTAATTAATCACCATTAACACACCATTAGTGTGCCACAAATGCCATGGTTTAATACTAAGAATAAATTGTGTAAGTTACAATTTTCAATTTCTTAGTTAAAAAATCAAATCAAGAGGCTCTCCTTTCTTGGTGGGTTTCATGCGTAAGGAAGAAGAAAAGAAAGGGGAAATATTTTCTTGTTTTTCTTTTTAGAGAGCTCTTGATTTTCCAGCCAACTTTCCGACAATCCCTTTCAAAGTTTTTGGTCGCCAACGTTCCTACGTTGTTCTTGTTTGTTGGTGTGTGGTTGGTTCGTACAGTCTCCACACACGATAGCGGTTTTATCCTGGGAGGAGAGTGCCCACATTTTTCCGGTACGGTAGGCGGGCACTACTACCTTTAGGACAGCTCCGGCGACTCCGTTGTCCCTCCACGGTGTTTTGTTTTTGCAGGTTCAGTTCATAAAGACCTCGCTGCATTCTGCCATAGGACATAATGTCCTTGCTGTCCAATGCATAATGTCCTCGCAGCCCTGTGCATAACGTCCTCGCTGTCTAGTGCGTAATGTCCTCGTTGTCCAGTGCTTGATGTCTTCATACCACAAGGATTTTTGAAGATATTGAAACTTATTTCCAATTTTGTTTATTTTGTAATATTTTGAATAAGTTATAAATTCAGAATTTTATTTAATTTTTTTTCCGGGGCCGTTCATCTTTCCCGTCCGTTGTAATCCATACAAAAAATTGTACTCCCTCCGTCCCTAAATATTCACCACATTTGCTTTTTCAGCAGTCGCGGAAACTTTTGTTTATTTCGACGTTTTCATTGGTTATTTGATATAATAAAATATTCTTGACACCTCTTATTTCGAAGAACTTTTCATGTAGTTTTTTTATATGTAAATTTCATTTTTTATTTCTATACCAATATGTAAATAAAATGAATTGAAAAAACTTGATATTTTGCCTTAGAAATACAAATGTGGCAAATAATTTGGGACGGAGGGAATAACATATATGATCTTTTTGAATTTATACTTTTAAAATTAGCATTCTTTTAACACTAACAGGACAAAGGGTCTAAGAAGAACATGACATTACGGAGCCCTTCGTCTCAAATTAAATTACCTGCTTACTATTCAAAACGTCAAATTTCATTTACTTTTTTTTGTATTTTTGTTAGTAATTTCATAAAATAATATAATTATGTTACTAGCTACCTATTTTATAGATTTATTGATGTTATTTTAGAATATGTAATTTTTATTTTTTTAATTCTACGCTATTTTTTATATAAAGTCATTTGAATTGAGCCAATATTATACAGAACACATATACAATAGATTTTCTTCTAATTAAGGAGAAAAAAAGAGAATTATAAGGATATTTATGTGATGTTTTATACATTAATGAATTGATACAAGCTCTTTTAAAAAAACACATCAAATGAACATATTTTTATAGTTTCTCATCACACATTAATAATGATTTTAAATAGTAATTTTCAAATACTCCCAAAATATTACGGATCGGCGTAGGAACAACCGAACAAGGCTTTTAATAAGGAAAGGATAAGAGAAAAGAAATGCAGCGACATAGTCGTCGTCATCGTCAACTCTAAGATGAAACCAGCTGCTACTGCTGCCATGACGGGAGGAGGCGCCGCCGCCGCCGTCTCCTGCTCGCAGATTTTCCATGTCAGCAGCAGCAATCGAATCTCCCATTTTCTCTCCACAAATCAAACTCAATCCTTATCACCCACACTAAGGTCTGGATCGGCGGTTTCCGTTTATCAAGCTTCGATTTCGGCCAAGCCCCTGAACCGGATCCGGCTCAAGGTCTTCTGCGGCGCTGCTGATTCCACTCAGACACACTCGTCCCAAACGTCCGTCATCGTCGATGATGAGTTCTCCCTTTCCAAGGTGGGATAACATACTACGAAGTATTTCTTAATTAAGTTACATTTGAGGTTTTATGCCTTTGTGTAGATTTTATTTTGCACTTTGTTTGTTAGGGTTGTTCTTCTCAAGTGAAACTCACTTGACTAAACTTAAACATGTTGAATCGAACTGAAAACTGAATAGTTCAATTTTACTCCTATTTGAATAATTTGTGAGCTGCAGTGAACTGAACTGGATATGATTTGAATTAAGGACCCCTTAATAATAACATTGTCTTTTTAGTGATGATTGAAAGCAAGCCAGTGCAATTATAATTAAGAATTCTGTTTGAAATGCGGGAATTCTGGATGGATGATAAGCTTGTACAGATTTGGCTAATGATGAGTTTACTAATGTATACCTTTTCTTTGTATCCCCAGAAAGTTTTATTTTGCTTCACAATATATGAATCTGAGTAATGATTTTAATACGGAGTACGTTATATTTCATAATCTAATGACTGCAGGTTTCATTTGGTGTCATTGGACTTGGTTTGGGGACTTCACTTCTTTCGTAAGTACAGTCCACTGATCATATTAGATATACGGAATACTTCATAGTGTGGATGGATTTAATCTCTTCTATTTTTAATTACTGGTGAAAATAAGAAAGGATGTGAGGGCGGAAGAGGAAAATGTTGGAGTATGCACTATTTACCGGAGAGTGTGTGTATGTAGAGTAGAGAGGTTGTTTTCAAAAGACCCACAACTCAACACGCCTATACATATAAATATATAAAAATGCAGAAATGTTGCTAACTGGGAATGTGTACCCACTCCTTTTCTTGAAAATTAAACAACAAAATTGAGGCTCTGTCCTTTTTATTTTATGGTCCTTTCAGTTTCTAAGCATATAAAGATGCTTGAATATTATGATGAGTCATGAGTCATGACTTCCAGAAATTTTTATGTATACATATGCTATAGGTATGGTTTTGGAGCATATTTTACTATCCTTCCTGGAGCAGAGTGGTCTGCGTTGATGCTTACATATGGCTTTCCTCTTGTTATTATTGGCATGGCCCTTAAGGTGACAATACATATTTTCACTTAGTTCATCTTGATAAGAAAATAAAATCAATTTTTTTCATAAATATTTTAGAGCCATGTTACTGTTTTGCAGTATTCAGAGCTTAAACCAGCACCATGTGTGACCTACTCAGATGCTCAAGTGCTAAGAGAAAAGTGTGCCACTCCAATTCTAAAACAGGTAAACTGCAAAACTTAACCATTTTTCGGATAGAGCATATACTTGAAGCTCAAATTTTTATATTATTAAATTTACTTTAGGTTAGGAGTGATGTGACAAGATATCGTTATGGAGACGAGCAGCATTTAGATGAGGCATTGAAACGGATCTTCCAATATGGGCAGGTATTGTAATCTTTTTCCCTGCAAAAAGGAGTCTGCTTATAAATTAGTCGTTTAAGAAGCTTGATCGTGATTCATGAGCATAATATCACTGCATATATAAAGTCCATATGATATTCTAGTGTGGGTTGAAGAAGTTTCTATCAAGATCAACTGTTAAAAGTTCTTTCCTTTTGATTGTTGTACTCTATCTAAAGTTTCTTCCTTAAATAAACAAGGGTGGAGGAATTTCACGGAGGAGTGCTCCCATTTTGCAAATGATTCGTGAAGAGGTAAAGCTCCTTGAGACCTTCCACAAGTTTTTTAGGCTTTAAGCTTTGCTGGTATTTGTTTAGCTCCACATAACTTTTCAGCTATTCTTTAGCCCAAAAATTCTCTTGTCCTATATTATTTTCAGCTGATTTTTACACTCTCAAATCCATTCATTTGCCTTTAGTTACCTAGAGATGTAATTTTTTCTGAAAATATCACACGTTCATTTTGCTGCATACTTTGTATATCACAGTGGCTAACAACTGCAAAGTAGCCAGAGATTTCATGCTTCATTTTTCAGTTTTTTCGAGCATCTGTTTTTTTCCTTTGTCATCTCATTGGTGTGTGTATTTTAGGTTACTGAGGATGGAAAGTACTGTCTAGTTTTGGTGTTCGAGGCCAAAGCTTTGCAGTTATCAGATTTTGAAAAACGACAGGTGAGATTGGACCCCTCCCAAGTAGTAGAGCTTGAAGTTATAGAGTCTTTCCATCATCTCCGATGGAGCCAAATTTTCACCATTTTTTTGGCTTTGGGGTGTGATGGAATAAATCAAAATGGATCTCTAAACTGTCTGCGCTTCTTTAATTAATGAAGTAGCAGTTAGTCAAGCAATGCAACTTTCGACGTTGAGCCGGGGGTCTCTTTGGAAACAACCTCTCTACTTTCGAGTAGGGGTAAGGTCTGCGTACACACCCTCCCCAGACCCTACTCTTGTGGGATTTAACTGGGTTGTTGTTGTTGTTGTATGAGATTCAACCATTTTTAGTTCAGTTCAAAAGTAAAAACTACTCAACTTTCAGTCGAAAAGACATAATCTCCTGTTTCATTCTGATATGATAGGAAAAGTTTGCTTCCTTCTTTGGTCCCGGCATTTCAGCTGAAATTGGTAAGCTTTGTAGGCTTCTCTCTTACGTGTACCAATTGCTTAATGATCTTCGTTCTCCCTCCATGGGGAAATGCAAAGTTTTCGTAACCTTGATGACGTCTTTAGATGAAATGACTATTTTATCCTTGATAAATAAGTAAATAACTTCAATGCATCCTCATCCAAGTGGTGAATAACCTTGATTTGTGACTTGTTTTGGTATGGTTAAGTTTCTCAGTAATCATATGTGTGTAGAGCAATATCATTATAATGGTGAATTTTTCAGGCATATTTGTCACTCTCTTCATTTATATATGAGTGCAGTTAAGGGAGGCAAAAACTTGTACGATGTCCGATTAATTTCCAACACCACATTGTGAGGTCTGCATACTTCTCTGCACTAGTTGAAATGCTTTTGAGGCTGTGTTATGTATGGAATTTTACCCCCTTTTTTTTTAAAGTGTGGCCATGTTGCCCATGTATATGAAAATTCATATTTGGAAACACACATCCTTTGTGTAAATAATTTGTACCATTAATTCTAACATGCATCATGATAAGTTTGATAACCATGGGTAAGTATAAATGCACTGCTCTATCACCGCCCACTTCAAATCTATAGCCACTCAACGTTTTATCAAAGTTGACTACACCGCCATCTCACTTCATTTTATATTTGTCGTGCTTAGACTTGACAAATTGGTCAGGTCACCTTGGGTTTGGGTTACTTCGGGTTCAGATAAGTTTGGGTTCGGGTTGATAACTACATGTTCATGACTCAGTGTTATCGGGTTCAGGTTGATCCAATGGGTTGTGAGTTTCATTTATTTTTTTGAAATTTTAAGTAATTTTTATGACTTAATTTCAATATTACGAATAAAAAAATTATATATATATAAATTTTGAAAAAAAGTACAATAATTATGCGACATCATTAAAATATGTTATGATGGTATAAATCTATACACAAAAAATGAGTAGTAAGCAAAGAAATATAATTATAATCTTATTTTTATAATACTATATATATTTCATATTAAAATGTATGATTCTGAAAAAATCTTAGATTAGCGGGTCAGTTAGGTCGGGTTCGGGTTCGATCGGGTTTGACCTATTTTTAGCGGATCATTTCAGATCGGTCAGCAAAACCTTTGTTCAAAACCCAGTATTCTCGGGTCGGGTCTCAGGTTAAAAATAGTTCGGGTCATTTTTTGCTAGGTCTATTCGTGCTTCACTTCTATTATAATGGTCTTTAATAGAATTAAAGTGATTTTTTAAACATCTAATAAATAAAATACTACTCCATACTAAAAACTGGAAAAAAATATTGGTTCTAAAAAACATATTTCAGAATGTTGCTAAAAAGCTACATAAAACTAAATACAAACAATGAAAAGACCAAAAATGAAAAATGAAAAAAAATCACGTGTGGAATGCAAATGAAGAAACTATACAAAAAAAAAAGCTGGGAAGAAAACAAAAGTAATATAGAAGAAAGACACCGAGCTAAAGAAAAAGTAGAGAATTAATTACTCCACATTTGGCTTCTCTCCTTGAATTGAATTCATCAATTCAAATAGTTAAAATACTTTTATCTAACGCATCAGAAACTAAACTCTGATCTTTTTTGAACGAGAAAGAGTAAATTGATTAAATTCACTAAAATCGGTCAAGACCTACGTACTTTATACTAAAACAGAACACAAAAATATAAGAAGATACCTCAAAGTGGTGAGATTATATTAACACAATATGCACGCACCCACACTTATTATTGTCGGTGTGTCGGTGCAATGCATGGCGTCAAAATCGTGTCACCACTTCGATGTAGTCCTCTTAACGTTTATTCATAGAACAAAGACTAGTGAAAAAAAGATTAGAATAAATCTGTCCTATAAATCAAAATCATAATCATAATCCCCAACGTCGTCAACGCTATTTTTCTCACCATCACCATCATCATCATCCTCATCACTGTCGCCGTCAAAGTTATTATCCTCATCCTCCGCCATTGCTTGATCTGTCTCATGAGCATTTCTCAAAAGCGCAGCAGCGCCCTCTCCAATTCCGCGCGCCACCATAAAATCCTCTTCTTCCATAACCTCCTCCTTCAATTCGTCGTCTTCTTCTTCTGCTGCTGCGCGGCGGGTACGGCTTCTTGGCCGCCGGAGATCTCGTGGTGGACGTTATCATTACGATCTTTCGAGGCAGGGGCAGTTGAGTAATTTCTGAAGGGATTGGACAGAGCGTTGCATGTGAGGAGGAGGAGGAGGAGGGGTCGGTTGGCAGCGTCGGGTCTCCGGCGTGTAGTCGAGGCGAAGAAGAGCCTCTGGAGGAGAGACGATCCGCCGCGTCTTGCAATTGCCGCCATTATTTTAGGCCGCCGGCGGGAGGACAATCGGGACAAGGAAAACAAAGGGCTTTGAGGAAGGGGCCAAATCTGAATGAAGAAGAAGAAAACCCTAATGCGTTCTGGGTATTGGGGATTTCATAAATTAAAAAAAAAAAACTCCGTAGGCCTTTAGTCCATGCAGTGCTTCCGTAACAAAAAAATTTGGAATAACATCATAGACAGCGTGTAGTGTAAGCCTTTTGAAAAATAATCTGCACCGTTGATATTTTATCCAAAACACTAACGCTACGATATTTTCCGAGTAGTAGACCCTAAATAAATTAAATTCTCCTTTATAATAAAAACAAAAACAATTACTTTCTTTTTTATTTTGTACACCCTGAACCCTGTTTTTGGGTTTTTCTTTGGCTATTTCCTCTTTCCGTTTTAATCTTTTTTTTGGAGGAGAATAAAACAAAAGTAGGAGTAAAATATTGAAAATAGACCAAAATAGAACTTTCATATTTTTATTCTCGAAATATGAGTTAAAATACATCTACATTACCAAACATGATCATGTACATTGCTAAAAAATACTCTGTATAGTAATGTGCACATGTACAGTGTCACATTACCACAGTGTTAAGTCCTATTCCAAGAATAAAAATATGAAAGTCCTATTTTGATACTTTTCTCAATATTTTAGTCTTATTTAATGTAATTTCTATTTTTTTGTTTCTTATTTTCGTTCCATTTTTATTTGTTTACGGAGTACTTTGTTTTTACTCCCTTTGTCCCAAAATGTAAGCAATATTTACTATTTCGGTTTTTGATAACTTTTGTTTGTTTACTTGTTTTGGTTGACCATTTGATAAATTAAAATATTCTTGTCACATTTTGTTATATAGAACTTTTGAACTATTTTTGAACGATGTAATTTTTACTTTTAATTACATAAGATGATTTTATAAGAAATACTCCGTAGTATTTTGTACGTCATTTGAAATGTTCCCTTACATAAGGGAGTTAGTACGGAGTATATCATAACAATAAAATTAAATAACATAAACTAAAATATTTAAAAGGATTTGATAGCACAATTTAAAACTAAAACTTATTTCATCCCACACAAAAAACCAAGTTCGCTTTGATGGTGCAAATTATTTTCACCAATGCATCCTTCATAGCCCGGTAAAAAGGATATACTCCTCTAATAAATCAACAAAAATATAAACATGTAAATTTCTATGTAGAAGCCTAAATTGGAAAAAAATCATACTCCCTCCGTTCCACAAAACCTTTCCTCTTTTATTTTTTTGCTTTCCACAAAACACTTCACTTTCTATTAAAAAATCACTTTTATCCTTACTTTTTCATACTTTACCTATCACATCATACTTTTTTCACTAATAACCAACTATCACATCTTACTTTTTCTCATCACATCAGGGGCAAAATTGGAAAGTCAACCAAAATTACACTTTCCTTATTTTCCCCCAAAGTCAAAACCGGAAGGGTTTTGTGGAACGGAGGGAGTAGATCTTTTTTAGCAGTACCTTACCTTGCCAACTGGGAATATTTATTTATTTCAAAGGTGCATAGAATATAATATTTCATACTCCCTCCGTCCCATAAAACATGGGATGTTTGAAAAAAGGCGCACTCTTAAAATGAGTAATTTTAGTGTTATTTTTTAATTATGACGAGTCTATTCTACACATCTCATCCTACTCTTTTAAGAAGTAAGGGCAAAATTAGAAAATAACACCAAAATTACTCATTTTAAGAGTCACTACGCCAAAAACATCATCAGACCACTGTTGATTAACTACTGTTTATGCAAACACAGTAGTTGAAAAAAACAGACTACTGTAAGGTTTTCTTGACAACAGAACGGTAGTCTAGCTGCTATGCTTTAAAACTATTTTTCAAGTTTCGAGAAACGGTAATGTATCATTAGTTGTCTGTCTCAGTTTAAAATACAGTCTTTCTTACAACAGTTGTCAATAATAAGTTAAGAATACTCTTTCTAATCAATAGTCTGGGTTGTTATTCTAGAACTGTTTTTCAATTTATTAGAAACAGTTATCTATTGTTTGTTGTCTGTTTCATATGGTTTTTTGCCACTGTTGTTTATAATAGGAATAGAAGACTCTTTTGTAACAATAGTCTATGAATTATGGGTAGAACCATTTTTGAAGTTGTGAGAAACGGTCATCTATTATTAGTAGTCGGTTTCGTAAAAAAATACAGTTTTTATTGCCACAGTTGTCAATAATTAGTTAAGACTACTATTTCTTAACAGAAGTCTGGTTTTCCAGTGTATAACTATTTTTAAACTTATAAGAAATAGTAATGTATTACAAGTAGTGTGTGTCACACTATTTTTTTTCACAGTTATCTATAATAAGTAAAGAAAACTATTTTTAAGAGAATTGTGCATATTAAGCCTAGAACTATTTTAAAAGTTAAGAATACTCATTTTAAATAGTAGTCTAGCTCTTAAGCCTAATACTATTTTAAAAGTTTGGAGAAACGGTAATCTTTTTTACACATTTATATGTGCAGCAAATGGATAGTTTAGACACACTTATAAATGGGGTAAATGCGTTATTTTGCCGCACTTATATATTGGCACCAACACTTATAAGAGTTGCTAATGGCATGTATTATTTTTAAAAATAGTAATTAATATAGAATTCTTTATTTATAAGAACATAAAAATTAAATTATAATAATTGATATTCTTTCAAATAAAGATTTCTATATTAAATACAACTATTATTTTGGTTTAGAATATACAAAAACAATTATCTAACTTGCTAGCTGAACATCTTTTTTTAAAGAAAGTTTTAATTAAATAGAGTAAATTAGTACATTGGGAGGCTGTGTACTTCCCTGGCTCAAAATACACCAATGCTCATTACAATTATAAGAAATAAAAATCCCCAAATGAAAAATTCTCAGTCACTTTGGGTTGATGCAGCTCTCTCTGAATTTCCAAATGCAAGTATAAATAAGACTTGGACTCCAAACAACCATGCCTAATAGCCTGCACATCCTGCTCAATCTCACGAAAGAAGTCCTGAAGCCAACACCTCCAAAAGAATAAAGTTATCAGGATTCAGAATTTGCCTTATATTACCTCTGCCAATCTCTACCTTACATGTTGAAGTTCATAATCAAATGAGCAAGTTACTGATATGTAATATGGGTGATGTTATCTGCAAATCAATAAAAGAGTGAGCATCTCACATACAAGGACGTAACCTAAGACAAGAAGAAAATACAATAACATCAAACGTTTCCCTATTACACAACATAGGATGGATTAAAACAAAAGAACCAGGCAGAATCCAATAAATTTAGTACTTTAGTCTTCCTGAAACCTTTTATAGGAACTTTTCCCATTAATACTGATTAAATATCTCCAAATAGAACATTAACGAGTTACATGATACTAAACAAACTATCTTAGATGGAATGATCGATACCCAATATGTTTTCCGTCTAAGAAATACTCATCTTTTTTAGCCAGATTAATCTTCTCACCGCACTTCTTCCAGATCAACCTGACAATATGAAACTTTCTAAAACTTATTGTTATCACTACATATGATTAAATTTTACTATTTAAATTATTCATAGATCTGTAAAAATACATTTGCATTCCGGTGGAAAAGTTTAAGGCGATTTTGAGTACGATATGTCATATACGTATTATATATTACTCGCCTGAAAAAAGATGAGGTGTTAGCTTTTACCAAGATAATCTGTAATTTTGTACAGAGTATTCTACATTTCTACTGCATGCTTAGTGACCAATTTGAAAAATATCATTAATGGAAAAAATGGCACAGAGATAGCCAAGACTGAGAGTTCTGGGTGGTGTCTGTGGTTCTTACTTGTGTTTTATTACTTCTAAAACATGAGTGATCAGGGTACCTATTAATGATCAGTGAGCTACTTGTTAAAAAATCTCATCATCTCTAATTGCACCTGTCTCACAAGAAGAAAGAAAATCATTAGGAATTTGGGATTTACTGAAACATGAGTGATCACATATGATAAGAATTAAAGAATTAATCTTCCAAACTTAAAAATTGAATCTTCAAGAGTAAACAATCTCTCCTTAAGGAGTTTACTCCAAATTTAACTGAAAAATAACATGAAAGGTTCATTTCAATCACTCTAAACTGAAGACATAAATCCAATATAGGAGCGAACACATCAATGAAGATTTTCCACACTAACTAATAGACCTATACTGATAATTATAGCATTCAAAATTTTCAAGCTTAAGATAAACCATAACCAAATCAGACAAAAATAAGAAATTAACTCATCTTACCAAAGCTAGGGTTTTGGTTGATACATGTAAGCAAAGATTGGGGAAAAGAGATCTTCAACGAAGTAGTCTAGCCAAACCCAGTGATGCCACTGCCCAGCCCTGGAGAACAGAAAATCAGGGCCTAAACACCACTGACCAGTTGGTTCAAGCCACAGAAAACCATTCCACGTAGCTGGTTGTGTCCCATTCCTCTTAACAATACAATTACAGCAAAGAAATGAAGAACATGGTCACAAAGCAAATTCATGTTGCACGGTTAGTTTATAGCTCCATTACAGTCCCCATTTGATTAGTATTACCCTCAAACAGCCAAGCAAACACCAGCCCAAGCAATAAAGGCTAGACCAGTAGCAAAACCGCACAGGTACACTAGAACGTGAACAGTAACTCGAGCAACCAAATCAAAGAGACCAAAATCAAGTTGTTTGAATTAGGGATTCCAACACCAGACGTTGAATGGCCCTTGAATCACAAACACAATACCAGAAAATGGGATGGAAAACGAGCAAAAAGCATGGGTAAACCTGGACTTGAAGAACTCGCTGTGAACAGTGACTCTGAGTCCAAAATTTTTGCTCAATTCGCAGCTTCCTTCAACTGGTTTGGAAAAACAATTTCAGGTGTTGAAAGAGCATCCCAAGTCGCCCATAATCCCCCAAAAATTGGCCTTCAAATGAGCTTGGACCGAGGTGAATTGAACCTTCAAGAGTCGCAGATGAACAGTAACTCAAGAAGGTTGACCTGCGATTCTTGCTCAATCCAGCGCCCAAAACATCAAATTGAGCTGAAGAATGGATTGCCATGCCCAAAACGATTCTAGAGCTCTAAGAATCGGTCCAAAAATTCAACAAATTCAAGGTGAAAGGGTTTAAGATCGGCAGTGAACAGTAACTCGTGGAGACTGCCATCTAACGGTAATGTTTGGTTGGAGGTAGGTAAAGTTTTATTAGATAGGTAATGGTAGGTAATTGAAGGTAGGTAATTGAAGGTAGGTAAAGTAAGGTAATGAGTTAAAAAATTGTGTTTGGATGTTAGATAGGTAACGTGAGGTAAGGAAAGAATAAAATTACTAAAATATCCTTGTGCTTGGCTGATCGGATTTTAATGAAGTGTGGCAAGTATCTACGCCGACTGCCACGAATGCCATTACGACTACAAATCCACGGGCCACAATCTCATTAACAAGGAAATTCTCATATTGCAAAAAAAATAGCTTAAATATTTGAGAAACAAAATAGTATATTTCAATAAATAACAAAAAAAGCACAAAAAAAAACATAAAAAAACATGATATTAAAATACACAACAAAAATAAAAAAAATTCAGCAAAAGAAAAAACAACACAGTAAAAATGATAAAGAAAGCATAAACAAAAAATAATAAAAACAAAAGAACAAAAAACGAAAGGAGAGGAAAGAAAACCAGAAAAAGATACGGAGCAAAAACTAAAGGGAGAAGAAAGAAACCCTAAAAAAACCAGAAAAAAATAAAAACTGAAGGGAGAAGAAGACTTTACCGATGGAAGAGGAGATGGCGACGGAATGGATCTGAGATCCGATACGGCTAGCGAAGGGCAGCAGCTGAACTGAATCTCGGTGTTTCGCGAAATCGGCGGTAGCCTAAATTTCACTGTTACGCGGTGAAGCTACCGCCATTCACCTCCCCTTACCTATCTCTGTTTCTTCCCCAAACAAGGTAGATTTTAATTGCTACCTTATCCTACCTTGACCTCCCTCCATCTAAACACAGCGTAAAACCTGTGATAGATGTTCTCTATCATACAAGAGTTGTGATTTTGAAGAAGATGACGGAAATTATCCCTATGGGAGAAGAGATATTATGAAGGGGAGGCGATAGACCTATTTGCGAAATTGGGGAACATATTAGGCGGGCAATGAAAAATCAGGAGGGAATCTAAAAATTGAGATGAGCTTGAAAATTTTTAGAATCAGCCATTTGATTTTTGAAACAAAAAAGTTTTTTGGTCCATAAATTTTCTCACTCTTATGTAACACTTTCAATTAGGGGTACACAAAAAAAACCGGTTCGATATTGTTTCGAACTGAAACGATAATGTACCGAACCGAAAAGTGAGTTTTCAAATGGTTCTAAGAAATTATATCCCGAATCAAACCGAACTATTTTCATGATAGTACAGGATGGGTTTCCAAAAAATAAATAGTCAAAATACCTAACCGTTACCACTATAATAATAAAATAATAAATTAGTTGTACATTTTTTTGTTAATTGATTTTTTTACTCACATAGAGTCAATTCCACAAGATACCCATATTTAAAGATTACATTCGGCAAATAGGACACAACGTAGAGAAGTAAATAGATCTTTTTGAAGATTTGATCTGGTCTTATTAGACATGAATTTGATTTGATCCAATTAGATCTGTTTTGTCCGATTTGATCTGATTAGGTCCGATCTGATGCATTTAAAGATTATATCAGGCAATTAGGACACAACCTATACAAGTAAACAAGTTTCCTGTGAAAGTTTGATCTGATCTTATTAGATTCGAAATTTATTTGATCCCATTAGATCTGTTTTGGTCTAATTTGATCAAATTAGGTCCGATCCGATGCATTTAAAGATTAGATCAGGCAAATAGGACACAACGTATACAAGTAAAAATATCTTTTTAAAGATTTGATCTGATCTTATTGGATTTGAATTTGATTTGATCCGATTAGATCCATTTTGGTATGATTTGATCTAATTAGTTCCGATCTGATGCATTTAAAGATTAGATCAGAGAAATAGGACACAACGGATACAAGTAAATAGATCTTTTTGAAGATTTGATATGATCTTATTGGGTTTGAATTTGATTCGATCTGATTAGATCTGTTTTGGTCTAATTCGATCTAGTTAGGTCCGATTTAATGCATTTAAAGACTTGATCAGGCAAAGTGAGTTTTCAAATGGTTCTAACAACCGTATAACATCAAATCTTAAAAATATCTTTTTACTTGTACAATTTGTGCCATATTTTCCTGATCTAATCCTTAAATGCATCAAATCTGATCCAATTAGATCGAATCAGACTAAAACAGATCTAATCGGATCAAATCCTATGTATTTAAGGATTAGATCAGAAAATATGACACGACCTATACAATTAAATTGATTTGTTTTAATATTTAATCTGATCTTATTGGATTTGACTTTTATTTATTCTGATTAGATCTGTTTTGTCTGATTTGATCTAATTAGTCCGATTAGTTTTATTTAAAACTCTTTTAATTTGATCTAGTCTAATCTGATATGATGAGATCTGATTTCATTAGATATCATCTAAACAACATATAAACATAATAAATTGAGATGCACTGGCTCACATGAAATATACAAGAAATAAGATCTGATTGAATTTGATTTGATCTTATCTTATCTTAGAAGAATTGGATCTGTGCAAGTAACCAGTTCAGTTATCAGTACCGGTAAGATCTTATACGGTCAAAAGTATGAGTATCCTAAGGAATTAAATCAGTGTGAGTAACAAGTTCAGTTATCAATACTTGTAAGATCTTATACGATAAAAAATATGAGTATTTAGAAGAATTGGATCTGCGCAATTACCTTGTTCTATTATCAGTACCAGTAAGATCTTATATGGCCAAAAATATGAGCATTAGAAGAATCTGATCTATGCAATTAACTAGTTCTGTTATCAGTACCAGTAAGATCTTATACGGTCAAAAGTATGAGTATCCTAAGGAATTGTAAGTATAATTTTTATTTTCTATTTATTAATTACCACTTATGTTTTTAAATAAAATTATTTTAAAAAAGATGATATTTTACACGTCCTCCAAAATGTCCCAAACAATTTGGAATGGAGGGAGTACATGTTAAAAACCATTATCACATACTAGTCAAAATCGTAGTTACATATTTTTATTTACAAAACGGGAGTTACAATGCCAATTATCTCAACACATAATACCAAAAAATACTCTATAATGTCAATATAAAATGTCACAATAAAAATTTTTATTTTGAAATTAAAAACATTAATATTCTATTTTAGTACATTCTTTTTTTTTACTTCTATTTTGAGTGATATTGTTTTAAAGAATTACTATTTTTTTTGAAATAAAAAATACAGAGTAAAAAGTTAAACTAATTAAAGATAAAATTTAAAGAAGTGAAACTTAGCAGGGTAGAGGGGACGAAAAAACAAAGGGAAGATAAAAGTTTTGACAAAAGAAGGAGAGGGAAAAAAAATTGGTAAAGGAGAGGGAAAAAAATTTGGCAAAGGAGAGGGAAAATATTAGAGCATTGACAATGGCAAGACAAAAATGAAATGCCACACGGTGACATGGATTATTTCAACCAATAAAAAGTAACCCAGTCACCGTGTGGCAATTGAGTGGAGTGTCGTAACATACAGTGGTAAGTCGTTGTTTTTGTCCATTTTTGTACTTTTTAATGATTTTTAATTATAAAAAATTATTTTCAAAAATTATTTTATTATTAAAATATGTTTACTTCTTTAAAAAATATTTTTTTCAAAAATTACAAATATTAAAAATATTAAAAAAAATAAAAAATGAGAGAGTCATGCCTTGCACATGGAATGAAAAGTGGGATGGAATGACCATGGAATGCCATGATTTGAGTGAATTTGCTGGCCATTGTGAATGCTCCTAGGTTAAAAATTTTAAGTCCACACAAAATCATTGAGCCGCTAACTGAGATAAGGAGTAGATGGGAGTTTCTCTCTCTAGGCGTAAGAACGCTGGGCAATAACTCGAATTAGTGTTCACTGTCTTCTTCCCTTTGATTCTTCCACTTTTTGGAGCTTTTCTTTGCACAATTTTTGGAACCCTGGGTAGATATGACACTTGCGCAAGTGAATATGCACTCAATTTGGGATTTGCGCAGATGGTTTTTGCTAATATGCACTAGTGTGCTTTTTTTCAAACATCCCATGTTTTATGGGACGGAGGGAGTACATTTTTTTAAAATTTACGGAGTATTTTATTACTCCGTAATATACAATGTACAGAGCATTTTTTATATAATTGGTTTAAAGTTTTTTTTAAATTTCATTCAAATAATTCAAACTAGACGAATATTCTTTGATAATGGAGAATTTTTTTCACATAACTTCAAAATGTAAAATTGTTTTGTTGGGATTTTGCAAAGGAGAGATTGAGAGAATTATTATGAACTATAGGGTTTAGCCACTATAAGTACTTTATAGTGAAATTTGCACTAAATAGGACTAAAACATAATGACTTTCCTAATGTAGGACTTAAACTTTTTTATTCCCTAAATAGGACTTAATAATGACCTTGTGGGAGGAATAATGTCCAGTAATGATAGAAATTTACTTGAATAATGACTACTTGATAATGACCAAAAGTCCTACATTGAGAAATAAAAACATATAGTCCTATATTGGAAAAGTCATTATGTTTTAGTCCTATTTAGGTAAATTACTCTACTTTATACTTCCTCCGTCCCGGAAAACATGGGAGTTTTAGTTTTGGAGAGGGATTTAAGGGGAGTGTATTTTGGGATTGAATTTCCAAAAATGTCCTTTGATATGATGGGTAAAAGTAGGATTTGATGGATAGATTATTAGTAAAAAGGTATGATGTGATAGGTAGGGTATAAAAAAGTAAGGGGTAAAAGTGACTTTTTAATAGAAATGAGAAGTGTTTTTGAGATGAATGAAAAAAGAAAAGAGAAAGGTTTTCTGGGACGGAGGGAGTATTATAAAAGTAGAAAAAACGTTTTTGAACCAGAAAGAGTAAATTGATTAAATTCGCTAAACTAAAACACAACACAAAAAATATAAGAAGGTACCTCAAAGTGGTGACATTATATTAACACAATATGCACGCACAGACACTTATTATTGCAAGTGGATCGATGCAATGCATGGCGTCAAAATCGTGTCACCACTTGGATGTCCTCCAAACGTTATTCATAGAACAAAGACTAGTGAAAAAAGATCAGAATAAATCTGTCCTAAAAATCATCCTCATCATCATCGTTATTTTCCTTAACATCATCATCATCCTCATCATCATCGTTGTCAAAGTTATAATCTTCACCACCATCATCATCCTCATCCTCCGCCATTGCAGGAGCTGTTTCAAGGAAATTTCTCAAAAGCGCAGCAGCGCGCTCTGCAGTTCCGCGCACCTCCGGAAAATCCCCTTCTTCCATAACCTCCTCCTTCGTCGTCTTCTTCTTCTGCTGCTGCGCGGCGGCTATGGCTTCTTGGCCGCCGGACATCTCGTGGTGGACGTTATCATTACGATCTTTCGAGACAGGGGCAGTTGAGTAATTTCTGAAGGGATTCGACAGAGCGTTGCAGGTGAGGAGGAGGAGGAGGAGGGGTCGGTTGGCAGCGTCGGGTCTCCGGCGTGTAGTCGAGGCGAAGAAGAGCCTCTGGAGGAGAGACAATCCGCCGCGTCTTGCAATTGTCGCCATTATTTTAGGCCGCCGGCGGGAGGACAATCGGGACAAGGAAAAGAAAGGGTTTTGAGGAAGGGGCCAAATATGAATGAAGAAAAACCCTAATGCGTTTTAGGTATTGGTGATTTCATAAATATATTAAAAAAAAACTCGGTAGCCCTTTTGGTGGGAATTCCATAAAAGGTTTCAGTTAGACCTCGCAAAAAATGACCCGATCAACTTATTGTTGACCCGAAACCCGACCTGAAAACACTGGGTTTTGAACAAAGGTTTTGATAACCGAATACGAAGTTGACCGAACCCGAAATGACCTGCTAAAAATGTGTCAAACCCGACCGAACCCGAACCCGACCTGACCGACCCGCTAAAGTAAGAATTTTTCAAAATCATACACTTTACTACTCGTTTTTAGTGTATAAATTTATATTTTCAGACAAAATTTTAATGATATTACATAATTATCTTACTTTTTTCAAAAACTTAATCATTTTTAAATTCCTTATATTGATATAGGAGTATATTTCTAAAAATTATTTCAGAGTTTAGAATAAAGTATTATTATAGATTTAATACATTTTTTTTATATTTTGAATTTATTTAATAGAAAATGTAAGTGTTAATGTTAATTTAAAAATTTAGAAAACCAAAGTCATAACCCGTTGGGTCGACCCGAACCCGATGACACTGGGTCATGAACATACAGTTCTCAACCCGAACCCGAATTGACCCGAACCCGAAATAACCCAAACTTGAAGTGACCGAACCCGAACCCGACCTACATAGTGGCAAATCGGTCGGTCAGGTCGGGTTCGGGTTCGGTCACCTTGGGTTCGGGTTACTTCGGGTTCGGATAAGTTGGGTTCGGGTTGATAACTACATGTTCATGACCCAGGATCATCGGGTTCGGGTTGACCCAACGGGTTATAAGTTTCATATATTTTTTTGAAATTTTAAGTAATTTTTAGGACTTAGTGTCAATATTACGAATAAAAAAATTATATATGTAGAAATTTTGAACAAATGTACGATAATTATGCGACATCATTAAAAAATTTTATGATGGTATAAATCTATACACAAAAAATGAGTAGAGAGCAAAGAATATAATTATAATCTTATTTTTATAACACTATATTTCATATTAAAATGTATGATTATGAAAAAATCTTAGATTAGCGGGTCGGTCAGGTTGGCTTCGGGTTCGGTCAAATTTGACCCATTTTTAGCGGGTTATTTCGGGTTCGGTCAACTTCGGGTTCGGTCAGCAAAACCTTTGTTCAAAACCCAGTATTTTCGGGTCGGGTCTCGGGTCAAAAACAGGTCGGGTCATTTTTTGCCAGGTCTAGTCTCAGTTATATGTCGTTTTACATATTTAGTCTCTACATATCAAATATTACTAATTTAGTCCTCAATTATTATATTCATTTACATAAATGGTCTTTTGTTAACATTTCCGTTAAGAACGTGGATAAAATTGTAAATTCATTCCTTTCTCTCCTCAATTAAACTTACTCCCTCCCTTCGTACTCCTTTCTTAAACTCGTCGCTGAGTTTGAAGCTTTGAACCCAAAACCAAATCATCACTCTTCTCTCAAGTGTTTGTCTATTTGGTGGAACCCAAATTCAAAACCAGTAACCTTCATGGATGAGTTTTAATGTTTATTTTTTTTTTTTGCAATTTCTTGAGACTAACCGATAAAACTCATACATAAAGCTTATTGGTTTTGATTTTAGGTTCCATCAGGAAGACTAATAATTGAGAGAGGAATGATCATTTCAGTTTTGGGTTTAGAACTTCAAACTCAGTGACGAGTTTGGGAAAAGAGTACGTGAGGAGGGAGGAAGCTTAATTGAGGAGAGAGAGAAGTATGAATATACACTTTTGTCCATGTTCTTAACAAAAACGTTAAAAAAAGACCATTCGTGAAAAATGAAATAGTAATTGGGGATTAAATTAGTAATCTTTGATATATAGGGACTAAATATGTAAAACGACCTATAACTGGGGACCTTTTATGAAATTTATTCAATTAATTTAGTCCAGCTTCTCTAATAAGATTTTTTAGAAATAGCGTTAGAAATTAGCGTTAGCATTAACGTTTAATTTCAAGCCGCCGGCTGGAGGACAATCGGGACAAAGAAAACAAATGGTTTTGAGGAAGGGGCCAAAGGGACATTGATTTAATCCTAAAAATTTCTCCAGACATGAATAGGGGTGATCGGTGGTTTTGGGCTGGACAGCCGCATGGGCAGTACACAGTGAAGGATGCCTATCGTAAATTCATGGGTGAGGCAGATTCTGCACTTGGTTTTTCAAATTGGGGATGTCTTTGGAAGATCCCGGTGGCCATGAAAGTGAAGGTTTGTTTATGGCGCGCTCTTCGAGGTATTCTTCCAACCATCCCGGCTCTTAATTCTAAAGGTTTGGATCTTGATAATTCCTGTCCGGTGTGTGGCCAGTCTGGAGAGTCACTCGAACATGTTTTTCTCCGGTGCCGTTTAGCAGATGGAGTGTGGAGGAGTCTGCATATTGGAGGAGATAGAAATCTGACTTTTGGGGCTTGGTTCCAGCGGCAGTCCGAGGTTTGTACTCTTGATGGGCTACAGATTGTGGCTTGGACTATTTGGGCACTCTGGAAAACTCGAAACACCGCTGTCTGGGAACGGCGTGTGGTAATGTCGCAGGTTGTGGTTCAAATGATTCACTCCATGATGGAAAGATGGAGGAGCAGATTTGATGATACTGGACATGAGGGAGCCGTCCTTCCCCTGCGTGTTCGTCGGCCAGGTGTGTTGCAGTGTTTTGTGGATGCAAGCCTTTTCCCGCAGACTGGACGTGTTGGCTTTGGTGGAATTCTTCTTACCCCCGAGGGCCATTTTCAGGCAGCGTGTAATGGTCCTCTTTGTTGTGTTCAAGATCCATTGGTGGCGGAAGCTTTGGCATGTCGTGAAGTACTTTTGTGGCTAAGACGGCGTGGTGTGCGTGAGGTCGAGCTTTTTTCGGATTGTCTTAGAGTGGTGCAGTTGCTTTGTCAAGAGGTAAGTCCCGATATTCCTTCATACTTCGGGGGCGCCATTGATGGTTGTAGGGCTATTTTAGTTGAGTTTGATTTCATTTCTTTTAATTTTGTTCGTCGTTCTTGTAATAATTTAGCTCATGTTTTAGCAAGAGGGTGTGATACTCATTTTGTTGTTTGGGACATTGTTCCCCCAAATTTTCTTCTCCCATTGATGAATCAATAAAATTCACTGTTTTGTTTCAAAAAAAAAAAGAAAACCCTAATGTGTTCTCCGTATTGGGGATTTCATAAATACGTAGTATAAAAAAACTCCGTAGCCCCTTTATACGCGAAACAGAAATAATTTAGTCCAGCCCAAAAACAAGATTTTTTGGGAATAACGTTAGAGATTAACGTTAGCGTTTTAAAAAAACTATCTACGGGCATCCTGTATCGTGAACGTTTTCAAAGTAATCTGCACATTGTTACCATTTTGTTCAAAACGCAAACGTAAATCTCTAACGATATCTCCGAAGATGCCTTAAATAAATGAAATTCTCTTTTATGATAAAAACAAAAACAATTACTTTTTTTTATTTCGTACACCCTGAACCCTGTTTTGGGTTTTTCTTTTGGCTATTTTCTCTTTCCGTTTTAATCCTTTTTTTTGTTTGTTATTTTCATTCCATGATTTATTTGTTTACGAAGTACTTAAATTTACTCTGTTCTTCCCAAAATGTAATCAATATTTACTATTTTGTCTTTTTAGTAATTTTTATTTATTTACTCATTTTAGTTGATTATTTGATAAGATAAAATATTTTTGTCATATCTTGTTGTGTAGAATGTTTGAACTATTTTCAACGGTATGGATAAAGAGTTTAGCCATCAAATTCGAGCCGGGCCAGGCATGCCGATGTAAATGGGCTAATAATTTGTATCAAACCCAACCCAGATTCTTATTGGCACAAGTCTAATGACAAAAAGCAAGAAACTTCATAGCAATTTTTAGGAGGTGGTAATTTATATCATCAAAACAGTCACAACATCCAGGGTCTTCCTTGATACAACCAAGAACAAGTCATAATATTGTTGCAAAGAGAGACCAACAAAGTTAATATGGTAGTTAATTAAGTTCTACATTTCTTCTACCTCCTGGGGTTTAATTACTACAGCAGTATAACCTTATTAAGTTGATCATCAACATGGTTGTTTCACAGTGGACATCATGCATGGAGCCATTAACCTCTTTCGCCTGAAATAAAACAGTATGGTTTAAAAGATTTGTATATATCCCATACACTCCCATTACAAGAATATTATGCTAATGTAGAGATAGCCTTTTACCTGGAATTGACACACTTCTCAACCGTTTCTTGCTGTGCTTCATCAAAAGCAAACCATTTCTCGTTAGATGAAACGTCTTCAGTTCCTAACTCTGTACATCAATGGAAGATAGCAGGGTCAGCATCTTCAATTAGAAAGAAGAGAGTAGAATGTATGAGGTATACTTAAAAAGTGGACCTTGAAGAAGTATAACAGATTTGTTAGAAAAGCATGTCAGCCTCCAAAACACCTGACCATTTGTGTCCATAAAGATGGGCTCTGTTCGCATTGCATCTGATTTTTGGCTACCTATAGACAAAATAAACACAAGTCAACTACAAAAACTTATTTACACGATTCTCAGAGTGATTGAATAGCCCACTTGACACTTTTCTTTGTAAAAAGTTCGCATGCTACGACAGTTGTGAAAGATATTAATTTGTTACTTCGTAATTTTTAACAAGTATGTACCTTGAGTATGTATTTGTGAACAATGGTGGTGAAAGATAACTTTTGTTGACTTTGAAGGTAAAAACACGAAGATTAAATAGGGATGGAGGGAATACACTTTAACAATAGACCCCTTGTTTGTAGGAAAGTAGCATGAGCTTCAGCTGCTTCACGCTTTGCCTGAGTGACAATAGCATCATGCTCTAATACTGAAATGGGTGCACCATTCTTTGCAATGACTGTTGCAACAACATCACCTTGAATTTTCTGCTTCAAACGCTTTTCCTACACAATGCTCCAAAATGATACTCCGTAATAGTTTTTTTTCTGGAGAGTCTAAAATAACAAAATATTTTTATTTGACGTTTGTTTGGATCAGTTAATCCATTGTACCTCCTCTCGTGCAGCAGAAACTTTTTCTTTTGCTTCCTTTGTCTTTTCAGCACATTTTGAATTCTGCTCATCTATCCAATTCCTTATCCTTCTGTATTTGCACCCATAAACAAGTTTATACATTAATTTCAAATTAAATGGTAGGGAATTTGTAATATTTGAGACTTACACAGTATCAAGTAATTCATCACACACAAAGTTCAATAGCTTAAGCTTTTTTGAGGAGCTTAAGCTATCAAACCCATCGTCTAAGGAATCCAACCCCATTTGCTTTGAAACAATTGGGGATTCAGAAAGGAGCTCTTTAAGAGATTTGAGCCATGATCCCTTATCATCGGTAGGAGTTAAGATTGGAGACCTGGAATAGATCAATAAATCTTCAGGTATAGTTGTGAGGAAATTAATGGAACTGAAAGTGCTCATTAAACATGAGGAAATTGGATATACCCTTCATGCTCCTCTCTTATGAATGATAGCAAATGGATTAAAAACTGAGCAGTCACGTTAGTTTTCCCTCGTCTTGAGATTCGTCCTTGTACCAAATCCCTGAGTATAGCTTCTGCCTGCCCTCTCTTTATATCAAGAATCTATTGAAGATAAATATTCAGTCAGAATTTAGAAGAGTCAGATGTAACAAAGTTTGATTTGGTTGGATGGCCAGTTTTGTTTCTTAAAATTATGAAAACTAGTTGTCAATGAATGGGGGCCAAAAATATGATATTTATGGTAGAGAGATTAATAAATTAAACAAGCACCCTACAAGAAACAATGTGACAACATCATGTTCTTAAATCTTAATGTATATCTACAATATCCCATTGTTGGGAACCATGAAAAGCAGCACACACTTACCTTTCCAAAAGCAGCACAAAACTCTAAAAATTGCAGTGCACTTCCAACATCTTCTTGAAGGAAATCGCTGCCAGCTACAGATGTAAGTCCAGTTCCCTGAGGTAGGGGAATAGTAGCATTGAAGTTATTTTTTTGGATACATAGATCTTTAACAATGTCTTCATCAGGCTTCTTGATCGGCACTTCCATCTTTGTTTTTTCAGATTTATTGTCATGTTCACATGCAACATGTGTTGCATTCTTCTGGAAACTCTCTTCAACAGGATTATTGATCTTTGATGAACTCTCTTGCTTCATTTTCTTAAATTTCCTCTTATCGGGGGAATTAACAGCAGTCTTTGATGAAACCTTATCACCCACGCCATTGCATTGTATCTCCTTGCACTCTTCTCGTTTATTTTTTCTAGATCCCTGTTCAGTATGATTATGTGATGAAGTAAGTGGTTGAGCATTTAGTCCTATACTCCCATTAAATTTGTTTTCCTTCCCCCTCTTGGTTGGGAGAACAACTTTGGCCCCCTATCAACATTTAAACTAGAATGTGAGACTATCATTCAATCAAAATATTTCTGTAACTTTTATCTATCAAGGAAACAATGGAATGAATATTGCTAAAAGTGACAGTACACCACTACCTTGCTTGAAGCACTGTTCTTTTTAGGCAGAGCATCTTTGTTTTCAACAACACTTTCATGTTCAGAGTTTTGACTATTTCCTGGTGCCTTAACTTGTAGCATTTCTGAAACAGAAGTAAATCCAGTTGCTTTGGCTGTGTGTACGAGAATGCCAGTGGGCTGGTAACCTCTCTTTTTCCTGAGCCATTATATTTACTGATGAGCAAACTACTGGGATCATCATGGACTTTTTGGGTACATTTGGAACATGGAAAATAGAAGGGAAATGAAAATTATGAAATGAAGAGCTGTAGTTTGTATGTGTAATTTTAAATTAGAAATTACAAATGACAAACAGATTTGGTATAAAATTGAAATAAGAACTACATATCTAGATTTAATAGTCTTTATATGCTCCCTCATAGATACACAGAAGTAAAATGGGATAACAAATATCTTCAATAGATTTATTGTGTGAACTAATTTTCTATTCTTCCCTTCCAACTTTCCAAGCTTACTCTCTGTTTTCCTTTAAATCTTACAGAGTATTTCCCTAGCAATTTTCATGTTCCAAATGACCCCGCAGAAACACCATAAAGAAAAGGAGAGAAAATTCTACATGCAGAAACTGCAGTTGCATATGCCCATACATTTTGGACAGATCCAGTCATCCGTAGTTGCAACTTCTTCTACCTTCTCCCCATACCTGGTATATAAACACATTACAGAAACTAAAGCTTCTCCACAATAACGCAAAACACAAATAAATACGGAGCATAACATTAGAAACATGAAAAACAGAGGAACATACCTATTCAGGAGGCATTTGTGGCAAAATTGAATGGTACAAGGCTTACCATCTTTTATATTCTTGCATCCTGACATAATGTCCATTGTTTTTTGACGGCACTTCAAAATATCATGTTCAAATATTAGATATATTACACATTAATGAAGAGCATATCAACACACAACTTTTATGAAACAACACAGGTGCGTAGTAAAAAAAGGTCAGGAACTTTACACACAAAAAAAGTAAAAAAAATCCCTTAAGAGTGAGTTCAATGAATAAAAAACACCACACACAAGATAGCATTTCATTTTATGCCCTTGAATTGTGACAATTGCAAATGTGGAGCAGACTAATACTCTTTCTATCCCCATTTAAATTGCATATTTACTATCCACTGGAAAAAAAATTAATAACGTTCTTTACCCATTTTCACTACCAATTTGATAAAACAACATAGGTAGTGAAAATGGGTATCAGTAAATTAGATTCTTTAATCACTACCCATTTTCATTAAGAACGTTTGGATATCAGTTTAACCCATAGATTCATTACAGTTCAAAGTTCTAACATGCATCGAGATTATGCTTCACACATTGAACTTCCATCCCTTCCCTATTCCACTGAAACAGTTTCAATTTGCAAATTCTCAAACAAACAGCTTTGATACATAATTCCATCGCAAATAACGCATTCAAAAGGAAATTATTGAGATGACAACGACGATTTCCAGTTTTCTAGCCGGAAGGGAAGTGCAGTTACCTGGTGACAAGTCCTGCCATTTTGGGAATCATAGATCCGGCTGCCGATGACTCGAACGCCGGGGCACTCACTGCGACGCTTTGCCTTCACTTCTTTGCCCGTCTTCTTCTTCGTCTGCTCAGCTGCCGGATCGCCTGAAACTGCCATTACTGTGACCGCAATCCTGCAAGCAATTTCAGTCTCGCTTTCCTGGAAAAACGGGAGCGGAGCAGTTGAGTGTCGACTTTTATCGTGCTCCTGTAAATTTTAGCGGGATTTTATTTGGGGAAAATTTCAAGCCTGGTTCGAAATGCTTATTTAGGAGGAACATTGAATTGATCCCCAAATCGATATTCGCCCGCCATTTTTCCCCCCTTTTCTTTCTTTGGAGTTTCTTGATTTTGTCAAAGCGGAATAGAAAAAGGCATGGGAGGTGTCAACTTTTACCCCAAGCCTATTTTCTTGTCATGATGAGCATGAGGACATGACATGTGGACTGTGGGCGCAGAGAAGGTATATGATGTACGGTACATCTGGACACTATTTATTCTAAAGTATAGTAGTATTCATTTTCGCATAAATATAATTAGCGTGGTACTCATTCTAAAATAATATAATACTCATTTTCACACATTGGTTCAATATAATTATAATATCCATCTACAAATAATGTAATATTAATTCTGAAACAAAACAGTACTCATTCTCAAATAATTTAGTGTTTTTCTCATTTAAAATAAAATCTATACCAAAAATAATTTCTTGGTTGTACCAAAAATTAGGTACAACCCGATGTATAATATAATTTGTCGTGGCTGCGTGCATATCAATTTCACCCCAATTTTTTTCAAATTGATTAACTTCTCATACTAATTCGTTGGCTTTTGATTGATTTCGTTGGTTCCTCCACTATTCAGTATCATCGGTTTCTTGGTCATCTCGGTATCGAGTAAATCCAAGTTATCATAATGTTGTTGAAAATGAGACTTCTATTTTGAAAGTGATGACCAAATGGGTTACTTTAACCCAATAATAAAAAAACATCTAGCCTTCACAATAACTCAAACTCAATACCTTTCATAAAAGAGTCGTAAATATTGAAGATGGTGACCAAATGGGTCACTCTAACTACTGTGGAAACAAAATGAGCTAGATAAAAACAAACTAACATAAATAGTAAGGAGTATTAAAGCGTCAAGCTTATGCTAAAATATTACTCTCTATTTTTTTATTTCCTAAATAAGAGTTTAAGAACAATGCGACACTAATATTTGACATTGGTTGATAGCATTTTTACACTATTTTTGACATTATTTATTCATACCATTTGTGAGCACGAGTCATATTTGGTACAAAAGTATTTAAATTCATATTTAGGTATATGAAACATGTTTTATTGGTAGTTTGACAATTCTCTCTATCGTTTAAGGAAGGAATTTTCAATCACTGAGGGGGTGTTTGTTTTTCTGCCAGAAGACCTTCTGGCGTCTTTTGTCTGCGCCGCGCAGGCGCGCAGATGATGGGCTCTGCAGATTGTTTGTTTTTTGGAAGACATTTCACTCAAAAAGGTCTTCCTAGCATCTTCTTGGAGAAGACATTAACCAATGTCTTCTAACATCTTCTAACATCTTCTCCTTTTTTTTCTACTTCTCTTCACCACCACAACCGTCCACCACTACCACCGTCCACCATCACCGTCACCATCCATCACCATCGTCGTCCACCACCACCGCCACCATCCACTGCCACCACCACCACCGTCCACCACCACCGCCGTCAACGTCCACCACCACCCTTCACCACCACCCTCCACCACCACCACAATCGTTCATACACCACCACCGTACACTACTATCATTAATTTATATAGCAATCTACAGACATTAAAAAACAAACAGTCTTCTTCTTGCAGACCGCAGACCTTCGGTCCACCACTTCTCCTGCAGAT